AATGTCTTATAATGATACTTCTGCATCGAGGGATAGCAAAATGTTGCCATAAGTTTCTACAATCGTTGACCTGCAAAAACTGGTGATGACTGACTAATAAATCAGATATGACAAAAAATAATGAACTTTAGATTTGAAAATTTTTCTATTGAAAGAAAAATGAATAAATTGTATGTTCAATTTTTTTAATCTCTTTCCCCACAGAAGCTAAAAGAGGCCCTTTCTTCTGAACAGAGTAAGACTGCTGATGTCTCCCGGGCACTGGAGGAGGAAAAGTTACGCCTGGTCTTTCTGCAGAGGGAACTGGACAAGGAAAGGGAAAACACGAGCGGGGCTGTTCAGGAGAAGGACATCAAACTACAGGAGCTGATGGTCAAGCTGGACAAAGAGACCACAAGGTAAGTTTCCCATTTATGCTTATGGCTGAAATGGCAGCCAAAGTCATGTGAGGACATTGTGTTGTCTAGTCCCTGTGTGTACATGTGTACATATGTACATGTACACATCCACGCTAGTAGAGGGATAAATCTCTAACTTTGAACTTACTCTTAGCAGACAATTGAGATCTCAGCAGTTCTCTTTGGTTTAGGCATTGTTCTCCCAAATTCTATCTCAGATCTCTTGCAGTCTCTTATAAGACAGTCTTTTTTGTAACTGTTTTATTACATAGTACTTTTCCATTGTTTGAAAAGTCTCTTTTAAAATCACCTGTGAAAACATGGCTGCCATGTTGTTGTTTTTATGTCATTGTTAGGGTTAGACGCTAATCCCTATTTAATTATCTACTGTTCAAAACAATTGATGGTATCTGAGGGGGGTCCAACCTTAGGTGTCAAGAAGGAATCTACAGCAGTTCTCTTTGGAGTCTCTTCTAACGGGGGCAGATCTCTCCCAGCTCTCTTTTAGTCTTGTCCTTTGTGATGAGATCTCAATTGTCCACTAGAGTACTCAAAGAGATTTATCCCTCTGACAGTAACTGTTGTTTGTGGCCTCAAGTTCAAAACAAAGAAAAGCAGACTGAGGTTTCTGTTATTCGAATGAAAGCTCATCTGTGTGAGTAAAAATTGAGTTAAAGCTTGTTCCAACACAAAGAAAAAAACTCACCAAGGTTTCTGTATAGAACAGTCCTTTTTTGTGCCTTGTTTTGAAGCTTGTTCCGGAACTGCAGGGGCGTTTGTTTAGAAATATTCGAATGAGGATAACTCAAATAGAACCGGTTGATGGATCGTCGTGATTTTGTCATCCAGGAAATTTACCTGTTGTGGTCAGAAGACCATTGTCAGGGACATACAATGTCATGTAAATGTACATGATTAGGCCACAGCAAGTAAATGACTTCACATTAATTTTATCCTGATTTTGAAAAAAAAAAAGAAATTTTGTTGCCCTCTGACAGTGGTCAACATGCTGAAAATGGGCAAAGATGTCTGTTGCAATGCCAGAACATGGATGGCAGATAACTATGAAGAGAGGAGACAAGAAAAGGCTCTGATTTAATGTTTTGTTTAACTTTGAGTTTGATGCAGTGATATGTGATACATGATGCTGGTTGTGTATAATTATGTGATGTTCTCAAAAACCATTTTGACGATTATTGAGTCAAAATTTGAGAATGTAGGAGCCTTTTTTTATCAGCCTGCCTTGTTGTATTTTTTCTCCGCCCGCTCCCATTAGATTTGGAGTCTGTGGAGGATGTCATCCATAAAATTTACATGCTGTGGCCGTACATGTAGCTCTAACTAGTACAATGTTTATATTACTCATCATCATCAGTCAACTGCAACTGTAAATTTCTTCTAGTTCCTTTTGCTGTTTGGCACTGAGATGTACATGATAATTATAATTGAAATGACTGAGTGTGTGTTTCTGTGTGTTTGTTCAGAGCGGACACCATGACTGCTGCGCTGGAGAGACAACAGAATGTGGCCAAACAGCTGCAGTGGTCTCTGGACGAGCTCAAACAGACCAGGGCTGACTTAGAGAGAAGAAAAGAGGTGAAGTGTGTTATGTACATGAATCACACAGTCACATACATTTGTACATGTACTATAATTTCACACCTATACCCAGCATATGATTGATTGTAGATTGTGGTTTTTCTAATACCTTCAAGCAACTAATAAAAAAAATATTTGAGTAAATGAATAAGAAAATGCTACAAAAACCTTTTTAACATTAGGCAACTTTAATGTGCTTTTTTTAAAGATCATCAACTGGTATAATTTACTAGTATACAAATGAGGACCTTATTTGCATAATGAATGAGAAACCTGAATGATACTTTACCTTGAAAGGTTAACATCATTTAGTAAAGTTATGAGGTCGTGGATCTTCTTTTGATTTTGTTTTACATTCTTTTCATTTTGATGAAAGTTTTATGAAGAACTTTTTCTGTATAACATTGTAGAAGACTCTTTATTGACTCAACAGAAAGCACAGGGACTTTTGTATACTATGGTCTTCTACAATATATATGCGGCAAGCTACGCACAGAATACTTATCAGTGGCAACAATAACGGTTCAACTAGTGTCTAACATGTATTATCATATAGCCAGGAGGCGTCCACCAATCAGAACGCTCCATTTCCCATTGGTTATCAGGCTGTAACCTAAAAGTGGTCGGTTATTAGAATAACTGACCACTTTTTGGACCATACCATTATACAGGGGATAGGACACTAATAGTAGTGTTACGACTTGTAGTATCTACATTTTTTTTGTAACTATAGAAACATATTATAACATGATATTATAACATGTACAAGGCGACATTTAGCTACATGTGTTGTAATACTGGTTATTGACTGTTGTACCAGTATGTGACTGATGACCTGTGACTGATGACAGTACTAGTATCTTGTGTGTACATGAAACAGGCTTCTGTCAGTGAGCTGCAGTCCCTCCTGGATGCTGAGAAAGAACATTCCCTGGACCTGAAGAAAACCCTGGATCGAGAACGGCAGGTAGCGGCCAGCCTGAGACAGTCCATCACTAAAGAAAGGGCCAAGATGTCAGAGGAGTTGGAGAGGGAGAGAAGTCTTCGCAACCAGTTGAAAAATACTGTGGAAAAAATGGAGGTATTTTTGTTTAGTTTGTTTGTTTTACGTCAGTAGTAGTACATTAACAAGATATACAGAAAATTTATACAGTCAAACTTGCCCATGCAACCTTTTCATAAAGCCTGCCATCTGGCCATATCGACTGCTCACTCCTGATTTTTCCCCCATCGACCCAAGCAATGTAAGGGACTTGTCAAAGCCGCCCGCTTGTCCAACCCACTGTGACTGCCATTATTTGGGACCACACATGGCCATATCTGTGCCTGTGATGACCACATCATTTTGAAGTGTCTGCCAGAACATGTTTTTAAACTTAAGATATAACTACCGAGAAATCTTGACGAAATTGGCCAATTTTCTACACTACCAAAAATGCTTTTTCTTGTTTTTCTTGCTTTTCTTTCTTCTTTCTTGTACAAAGAAAATGTATCCTATAGCAAGAAAATTATTCTTTGAACAAGAAATTTAAGAATCCCCGTAGTAAGAAAATGTTTCTTGATTTTCTTGCTGTAGCAAGAAAACGATTCTGTCCACAAGAAAATATTTCGTGAACTAAGAGCTAACTGTTCTTAAAGCAAGAAAACCATTCTGTACACAAGGAAAGATTTCTTGTAGCAGAAAAAAAAGACCGTAAATTTTCTTAAAATTCTTAAAATTCTTAAGATTCTTGTTGGTGAGCATGATCATAGTAGAAATATTTTCTATCCTTGAGAAAAAAGGAGAATAAAATTCTTTGTGTAAGAATCAACATACCAAATCTTTCAAGAATGTTTCTTGAATTTTCTTGAAAATCCCCCTGGCAAGAAAATATTTCTCAACATAAGAAAATAAGAAAAGAAAAAAAAAATTTGGTACTGTATTAATTTTGACATTTTTTAGTCTTTGTGCAAGGTAAAATGGCAATGATTGGGTCACTTTGGATCAGTCTATTGTAAAACAGATGGAAAATGGAAAATTTGCAGTGGTTTTGTTGCCATGCTTTGTTGTATGATAAGAAGACCACTTGTCTAAAAAGGGCAAGAAGGCCACTGTTCCCTGGCCCCTTGGTGGGTGTCTTAGACAAGTTTGACCATACCCTGATACAAGCACTTGAGACATTGAAAACTGTACAATGTATAAGGAGAGGTTGGTGGGGTCAAATATCAAACTTGATAGTATCATACTCACTCACTCACTGTCCAGTTTATCATCTGTTGTTCCCCGTCTTCCGAGGGTTAGACGTGCTTGCACAGTACTACTGGGGCTTGATGGCAGCACGCCACTTGTCTCTGTCCTGTGGGTTGATGTTCAGGTGGTGGAGGTCCTCCTTTATGTTGTCAACCATTTCCTCCTAGGGCGACCACGAGGGTTTGGACCCTCCACATCCAGTGTGAGGCCATTTGTCCCAGTCCATTCTCTGGAGGTGGCTGTACCATCTTAGTCTGTTGTATCTATTAGTAAATGATAATGATTACCTTTTCTTTTCAGAAACAAAGCCAAGAAGCTACAACTTCCCTACAACAGGAGAAACACCACAGTGCCCAGCTGAAGGCAGACCGTGACAGTCTACAGGCCAGGTTAACTGTGCTGACTGACAGGGAAGCTGCCAGTGACAGGCAAAAACACAAAGACAAGCAGTCCCTGGTGAGTACTTGTGCACACACACCCTATACAACATGTACAAGTCATGTGTTGGCACATCATGTAAGGCCACAGCAAGTAAATTTTATGGATGACATCCTCCGCAGACTCCAAGTCTAATGCGAGCGGGCGAAAAAAACAAGACGGGCTGAAGAAAACAAGGTTCCTACGTTTTAAAAGTTTGACTCAATTATTGTACATTTGTCAAATGGTTTTTATTTAGTGGGAACATCACATATACACAGCCAGCACCACATATCACTGCATCAAAGTAAGAAACTAAACTGTTACATTAAATCAGAGACTTGTCTTGTCTCCTCTCTTCATAGTTATCTTCTGGCATGGTAACAGACATCTATGCCCATTTTCTGCATGTTGACCACTGTCAGAAGGCAACAAAATTTCTTGGTTTTTTTCCAAACTCAGGCGAAAATCAATGCGTGCGCTGATGTCATTCATGAAAAGTACTTGCTGTGGCCTAATCATGTAAAGCTGACATGAATCCCAACAACTACCACATGCAGTATTCTGTAAAATTGCACTTCTAACATATTTAGGCCTTGTGTAGACTGAGTTAAAGTTGATATCCAACACCAAAAGTTCTCTCACCTAGAGCTTTCGACCAGTCACTGGTCTTCCTAGTAAGTAGACTGACCCAGTGAGGCTTGTCACGTGGCTTCTTTGAAGGGTGACGTCAACACTGGGTCATCAACACTGGGTCACAGGTATCTGGTAGATTATGTCGGTCCCCGTCGCGGTTAAGCTCTACTAGGTGAGAAAACTTTTGGTGTTGGATATAAAGTTTTAACTCTAAACAATTCATGTAACTACCTGTCCAACACAGATAAACTTTCATGATAGTATAATTTAGGCCTTGATAATGGTAAGGTCACTCAGTCTGTCAAAAATGCTGTTTTTGTATGAATGATGGTCAAGAATAATGCAAGAAAATACTAAAATTGGTATATTCTAGGTTTGGTTTACATGTCTTGTGCATCAAGGTGATTTTAACCTTGACTGTTGGTTGGGTTTGATCACTCCCAATGTTCATTCAGTGTTAGTAACTGCTGTTATTTTCAAATTGTTAACTTACCAAATGCCAGAGAGGTAAAAAAGAGACTGTTTTTTAGATACCTAATTAAATACTAAATTACCAGAATAATGGGAACAAGAAAGCCTATATTGTAATATTATTATGCAACCACATAATATACTAATATATAATGTATAATATATATAACATGATTCTGGGCTCCCACAGTTGGAGTGACTGAGGAGAGCTGCCTCTCAACACAACTCAATCAATGTACGGATCTGGAAATGCAAACTTTGGGATGATCTGAAGTGCCAAGAGTCTTGAGGAACTTGAATCTCGTGAGAGGCACTACTGAATATTAAATGTAATATATCTTCTCCACAGCTCCAGAAAGAAAAAGAGATACAGCAGCAGCAGAGGAAGATTGCTGAACTCCAACAACAACAGAAGTCCCAGGTGAATAAGCTGAGTGGTGAGGACAATACAACTGGAGCAGATCAGGTGGGCAGACATGCACCTGTACATCTCAACACTGTGTACTTAGCCATCTCATACTTACTAGGACGGAGTGAGTGAGTGAGTGAGTGAGTGAGTGAGTGAGTGAGTGAGTGAGTGAGTGAGTGAGTGAGTGAGTGACTGACTTTTTGTCTGTCTGTCTGTCTGTCTGTCTGTCTGTCTGTCTGTCTGTCTGTCTGTGAAATAGAGTTTATGGCCCTATTAGTTTTATCCTGGAAGGTTCACTAGAAAGTAAGAGACACTGCTCTCAAATGTCAGTCCCTTCCAATTACAGTAGGACAGATCCACCTCCTATAAATCTTTTCAAACTTGTTCTAGTCGCTACCACAGAATAAAGTCCGTCTTGGCACCGTGGCCACTTTTTGGTGATCCCTTTAGTTATTTCTTGTCACTGAAAGACCTACCCAGATGTACTGTGAGTGAATGCATTCATAACTTTTGAAGAGCAGCACTATGTGTGTACATGTAAGTGATAATGGACCTATACCATTATTACGTCACAGTTTGTTTACCTGTTCTAAAGAACATTCTAGAACGGTCAGTTAAAGAAGAAAGATCATTTCAAAGTTTTCAATTGAAAGTAGTCTGATTTTGCTGCGTCTAGTTGTGTTGACACAGCATTACATGCCGCATGGGTGATTTAGTTGTGACATTAGACGAAAGTAGTACAACTGTATTAAAAGCCTTATATTAGGCTAACGCTACACAAACACACACCGCGCTGCGCATCCCTGTACAATATAAACGTCGATTGACCGGCATTCATTGCGGTAAACAAACTGTGACGTAATAATGGTATAGGTCCATTATGATGTGTAGTGTTGCACCCACTACCCAAATTATCATCTGTTGACTCAGTTGTTCCTGCATGTCTCTTGTGAGTTAGACATCCTTGTACATACAATGTAAATGTTGTGACTATACTTCTGAGAAAGGTAACCTGCTGTACTGTTTTATTTGGCAGGAAACCAGAGGTGTCTCACAGCAGCATGGCCATTCCTACTCCCCTGAGGCCCTGACCAGACACAGACACCAGCTAGAGTCTCTGTGTCAGTCCCTCCAGCTCCAACTGCTCAGGCTGAAGGAGACATTACCAACTCAGGCCTGGAGGTACTTCATTACCACATCATACACCTTTTTATGTCATACCTGGGCCGCGGTTACGTTTGATACGGGTGTTTCGGACCGGGCGGTACTTTACGGTACGGCCCGGGCTTCTTTACGCATACGGCCCGGGCTTCCAAATGTGTGCCACTTTTGAACATTCGAAAATACAAAATTCAGATGTTGGAATTGTTGCATTTTGGGGGTTTAGGGACACCAAATTTTTGCTCATTTCGCATGGAAAGGTGTGTTTTCTTGGGTGGGTATGACATATTAAATAAAATACAACACGGGGTATTCCGCATCACCCTCGGTCCCAGCCCTCCCGCGAGTCGGATCTCCCTCCGGCCTTCGGCCATTGGGCGATCCGACCCGCGGTCGGGATGGTACCTCGAGCAATACGGATTACGCCGTGTTGTATTCTATATGTACTCTGATTTGTGACTCAATAGATATTCTGAAGAAACAAAATGTTACTGTAGAATGGATTCTTGCTATGCAGCACTGGTACAGGTAACAGGGTGGGGTTGTGTGGTGTTAATGACAAGTTTTTTGCTCAGAACCCAGAAGTTGTTGGTTTGAATCCTGCCATGTCACTGATCTTGTGCCCTTGGAAAAGGCGCTTTGCACAACTTTCCTCACATCACTTAGGTGTAAAATTGGTGCCTGACTTTGGTTGGGGAGGTAAAAGGCAGTCGGAAGGAGAGGGGATGGGCTCTGCCTTCCAATATCGTGCCCTAGACACAGTGGATAACAAACCACTGCCCCTACATACAGCCTATCTCTATAACATGAGTACATATAGAGAGTGAAGAGACTCTTTTTACACAACCAAGGCTTTTATTCAGCTGACATTTCGGTGACCGTCTGTCACCTTCCTCATGGCAATTCTGACTGGAATAAATTTTAAAAGACTTGGTTTTGTAAAAAGAGTTTCTTTACTCAGTGTCTTACCAACTTGTTGAAACTATTAACAGATGAGTACCTATTATATAATTATTGAGTTTCACTNCTGACCAGACACAGACACCAGCTAGAGTCTCTGTGTCAGTCCCTCCAGCTCCAACTGCTCAGGCTGAAGGAGACATTACCAACTCAGGCCTGGAGGTACTTCATTACCACATCATACACCTTTTTATGTCATACCTGGGCCGCGGTTACGTTCGATACGGGTGTTTCGGACCGGGCTGTACTTTACGGTACGGCCCGGGCTTCTTTACGCATACGGCCCGGGCTTCCAAATGTGTGCCACTTTTGAACATTCGAAAATACAAAATTCAGATGTTGGAATTGTTGCATTTTGGGGGTTTAGGGACACCAAATTTTTGCTCATTTCGCATGGAAAGGTGTGTTTTCTTGGGTGGGTATGACATATTAAATAAAATACAACACGGGGTATTCCGCATCACCCTCGGTCCCAGCCCTCCCGCGAGTCGGATCTCCCTCCGGCCTTCGGCCATTGGGCGATCCGACCCGCGGTCAGGATGGTACCTCGAGCAATACGGATTACACCGTGTTGTATTCTATATGTACTCTGATTTGTGAATCAATAGATATTCTGAAGAAACAAAATGTTACTGTAGAATGGATTCTTGCTATGCAGCACTGGTACAGGTAACAGGGTGGGGTTGTGTGGTGTTAATGACAAGTTTTTTGCTCAGAACCCAGAAGTTGTTGGTTTGAATCCTGCCATGTCACTGATCTTGTGCCCTTGGGAAAGGCGCTTTGCACAACTTTCCTCACATCACTTAGGTGTAAAATTGGTGCCTGACTTTGGTTGGGGAGGTAAAAGGCAGTGGAAGGAGAGGGATGGGCTCTGCCTTCCAATATCGTGCCCTAGACACAGTGGATAACAAACCACTGCCCCTACATACAGCCTATCTCTATAACATGAGTACATATAGAGAGTGAAGAGACTCTTTTTACACAACCAAGGCTTTTATTCAGCTGACATTTCGGTGACCGTCTGTCACCTTCCTCATGGCAATTCTGACTGGAATAAATTTTAAAAGACTTGGTTTTGTAAAAAGAGTTTCTTTACTCAGTGTCTTACCAACTTGTTGAAACTATTAACAGATGAGTACCTATTATATAATTATTGAGTTTCACTAATCTGAACAACAACAGTTGGGTTAGGCAAAAAATTTTATTCAATTATATTAAATTTGTGTTGCATGGTTTGGTTTTCTAAACTTTTGTCCTAAAAAGTACATGCTTTTTCCTTGCAGTGCTGCTGCTGATGCAGAATTGAGTAAGATTAAAGAGATCCAACAAGCAGTTAAGAACCTGTCTACTGAGCTGCAACATATGAACGGTGCAAATTTGGTAAGTACAGTCCGTGGAAGATGTTGTCTCCTTAGTCATACAGTTACTACAGTGTACTATGATGTTGTGTGTGCAAGTGGTACTCTCCAAGCAGAGGTTTGGGTTTTGGGTTATTTTTGGGTGTTTTTAGACTTTTTATATTTCAGTCCATACCATGGTATGGATGAAATATATTGTGTTCTCTCATGTTTCTCCTTCTTCTTCTCCTCCTGCCAAACAGTCAAAGGGATTTAACTCCGCCATCATTCACCCAAATGACTTGAAATTTGGCATGGAGGTAGAGTGGGCAAATACCCCCAGGCGTTTTTTTCATTTTTTTGATACATGCCTTTGAAAAATTTTAAAGAAGGTTTTTTGGGGCATTTTTCGCCAAAAAATGGATTTTTGGATCCTGAGCCCTGGTTTTACAACCAAATGATCTGAAATTCGGTATAAGGGTACCTTGAACATGTGTGTACAGAATAGCAGTCACATATTTGGCATACACCATGACTCATTTGGGAGACTTGAATGGCTATTTTCAGCAAAAAAAGGGCCAAAAGTGCTATACCTGTTCCATGTTCTATCTATAGTAAAGAATGACCCGTTCCATCTGCGGTTGGCCATGGAACACGTGTTCCATTGCGGGTTACCTGAGGTCACATTGCACGTAAGTCGTACGTAATGACCCACACATTCAATTTTATGTGCCTAAGACCTTCAAAATGTATCAAATCTCATCTTGTTAGTATTTGCATACCTGTAATAAGATTAGTAAAGCTTTCGAGATTCAATGTGCTTGTTCTTGCATCTTTGTTCTCAATTACATAGCTACTATGTAATTCATTTATTTGAGAATCTTTGCCAGTTAGTTTTACACTGGGGTAAGTTTGGAATAGTCCACTTTTGTGTGGGAGGGAGATGGACTGAAATATGCTGTATTTGCTCCCAAGCAAATGTCGGCCTCTAGTTTATCAGGGTTTCTTTTTATGGTATTTCAAGCTTTTCTGCTCCAGCATTGGAATGCGGGGCATGAACGTTTTTTTATTTATTTTGAAAATCAACAGTTTGCATTATGCAATTAAAAATCCTAACCAATAAAGTAGGGAATAGCTATCCAACTGTTGTTTTAGTTGTATGTTACTTCATATTATAGTTATATCAATGTAAATCATTGTTTTCCCTTGTGTTTCTCATTCTTTCCCTGCCATGACGTCGTAAAATGTGGTGAACCCATCGCTGTATTTGCTCCAAAGCAAATATTGGCCTTTCTAGTTTGCATTGGAATTTTCTTTCACCCAACCCAACCTCTGCCGGCACTCACCCCGGGGCGGGGCAAACCTATTCAGGAAACGTGACAGTGCTCCTCCCTGGGAACCATCAAATTATCATTAGGGATATCCATTTTATTATCACACATCCAGCCAGTCAGAAAGGCATTTATTCAGCCACACGCCTCCTGCTGACTGTGCCTATTCATGTGTCTGGTTCACATCTACTTGCAGAACGACTGTAATGTGTTGAAGTGATTACAGACACACAATTATAGGTTTATAGCACATTGAAGCTTTCAAATGCCGGCAAAGGTAATTTTCACTTATTATTGATATTCACTAACAAGGATTAACTTTCATGTGGAATTTAATGTAAACTTTATATTAAAAACTTACATCAACACATAATTTGTCTTCTGCAGTCTGCCTCAGAACTGACTGCTGGACCATCTGTGAATGAGAAAATACTTCAACAGAACACAGAGCTGACCAGTTTTGTCGCAAGACTCAGTCAGGAAAAAGCCGAGCTGAGAAATGCCCTGGCTGATCTGGAGGAACAAGTCTGGATGTACAGACAGAAGGACATCACAGCTGAGCAGGTGAAAATTTATTAACAATTAATAACTTCTGAAAGGCAAAAGTGACTGCAACTGTACTGCCCATGCATGAGAGGAAATTCAAGCATTAGGCATTATCACATATTCTATCCTGATGTTGTTATTGTCATAGACAGCAGCTAAGTGTGAAAATAAGTAGAGACAGCTTACTATACATGCACATGTATGTTTAACACATGGTGGCCTACTTACTGGTTTGGGAACTTGTGTCTCTTGCGATTGACACCAACAAATTTTCTATACAAACTTCCTTATATCTGGACTAAGTCTTTTAATGGCACAAAGACGGTATCAATGTATGCATGTCCTAGACTTTCCTTAGAGCCTATTTACACATGCGTTTTGTGCGACAGATTTTTAAGTGTATAAACAACCTCTGCCACCAACGCGCCGTGCCACGTGTCATTTTTCTGTCGCACATCCAGGAGGTGCCAAAGGAAAAATGCTGTGCGGTGGTGGCAGAGGTTGCTTATATGCTAAAAAAATCTGTCGCACAAAACATGCAGTGTGGCGCGCATGCGTGTTATTCCACGCCTGACACATATAAATGACACACATGTAAATTGGGCCTTATATTCCCCCAGACATCTGTACCACAGAAGGCCATGCCGGCTGCAGGCCCTGGCTGGCAGCAGGAGAAGGCAGAGTTACTGTTGTCCCTGCAGCAGGCTCAGCAGGAAGTGGCTCGCCTCAGGTCTGAAGGCAGACAGCTGGTACAGGACATACAGGCTGAACCTCACCAGGCAGACCCTGCAGCCGATCATGTCAAGGTGGGACTCAGCATACAATGTATTTAAGCATGAGAGTACATGTACATCATGGTGTCTGGTGGCATAGTGGTAGAGCATTCGACTATGAAGCGGGGAGACTCGGGTTCGATCCGAGTCGTACCCGGGACATGTCTGAACATGCGGCCCGACGTTGTGCCCTTGGGAAAGGCACTTAACACGACTTTCCACACTCCACCCAGGTGTGAATGGGTACCTAACTTCGGTTGGGGAAAGTCAAATTGAGGTCACCTTGTGGCGCCGAATGGCAGCCGCACAGACCCTTGTGACAGTTCCACAAAAAATTGTGGAGCAAGTATGCATTATCTTGTGTATTATTTGATTGTTGTGATTTGTGTTGATTATTATGTGATACCCTGCATCAATTCAGCCGTATAAAGGCTGCTACTGCATGGGTACTGTTTGGACGATAAAAAACATTTATTATTACATCTGAGTTAGATTACATTATGTATAATTAAAAATTATATTGAAAACTGTTCTCCAACTGAAAAGG